AGAGAGAGAGAGAGAGATTAGAGAAATGAGCTACCTCAAGGACAAATCAGAGTGGAGATCCATGCAATCTGGTGTCAACACCCTCCTGGGCTCCAAATGAATTAAATGCTTCACATCTAACTAAATGTGTGCCTAGAAAAAAAAAAAAAAAAAGAAAAAAAAAGAGAGAGAGAGAGAGAGAGATTAGAGCAAAGAAGTAGGAGTGTGAGGAAAATCTACAATCTCCAAGTCCTTATTTCAGTTTTCACAGGCATAGAAATGATTTTAAAAGTTTTGGCCGGGCGCAGTGGCTCAAGCCTGTAATCCCAGCACTTTGGGAGGCCGAGACGGGCGGATCACGAGGTCAGGAGATCAACCATCCTGGCTAACACGGTGAAACCCCGTCTCTACTAAAAAATACAAAAAACTAGCCGGGAGGTGGGCAACCTGTAGCCCAGCTACTCGAGAGGCTGAGGCAGGAGAATGGCCATAAACCCAGGAAGGCGGAGGCTTCAGTGAGCTTGAAGATCCCGGCATGCACTCCAGCCTGGGCCACAACGCGGACTCAGTCATCAAAAAAAAATAAAATAAATAAAAGTTTAGTGTAGCAACTTCTTTGTTTTTTGTTTTTTTTTTTTTTTTGAGGCAGAGTTTCTTTCTTGTCGCCCGGCTGGAGTGCAATGGTGCAATCATGGCTCACTGCAACCTCTGCCTCCCCGGTTAAAGCAATTCTCCTGCCTCAGCCTCTCGAGTAGCTGGGATTGCAGGCGACTGCCAACATGCCCGGCTAATTTTTGTATTTTTAGCAGAGATGGGGGTTTCACCATTTTGGCCAGGCTGGCATCGAACCCCTGACCTCAGGTGATTCGCCCACCTCAGCCTCCCAAACTGCTGGGATTATAGGCATGAGCCACTGTGCTGGCCTGTTCTTAATAATGGGTGGTAACTCTGTAAGTCACAAAATGTAGAACTACGTTACAACAGCTAATTCTTAGTAGCATGAAGAAACAGATTATCTAACACCAATATACTATATACTTGATTCAAAGTAGAGTCACAAACTGGGGGACAAAACAGGGCCTCTAGATAGGTTTTATTTGGCTAACATTATATTAAATTTTCTTTAAATTACTTCCCAATGAGATAAGATTTAAAAATCTGAATTTCCAGCTTCTCTTGGAAAACAAAGGATCTGGCAACATTATGCCTGAATTCTAAAGCTGAGTAACTTTGCCTGTACTTAGGATGAAAGCTCACCTGTTTACCACAGTCCCCACCATTCCCTATTGCCCTACATCTGGCCTACATTTCTCATTTTTGTTACCTGCCTGACACTGGTAGGTATCTGAGTTGGTGACATCAATGTATAGAATGACCCAAGACATTTTCTAATTCATGGTAAGATATTTCTAACCAGATAAGGACTATGTTCACAAAAACTACACAACAGAAATCATTTCAAGTGATACCTTCAAATGAGAGATATTAAAATTATATCTAAGCAAAAGGAAAGATACTTACCGAACCACAGCCTGACCCCGAGTGAGACCTTTGATTTTCAAATAATGCTCAATTACCCTGTCCTCACTGTAAAACAAAGAAATGAGAAGGATTGCAATGCATGATTATCTGAGGTACAGGCACAGTTTCCACATTATCAGCAAACTTGAGAGAGAAAGCCTTCAGCAACTTGTTTGGTAGATAGAATTTGGCTTTTGTTTCTGTAGGAGATGGATTCCTGAACTTCAGACATTTGACTGCCTGCATTATCATCTTCAACTTATATTTTATATAGCATATTTATATAATATATATATTGCTACCTTTAAAACTTAAAGCACATGGCCAGGTGCGGTGGCTCACGATTGTAATCCCACCACTTTAGGACGCTGAGGTCAGGAGATTGAGACCATTCTGGCTAACACAGTGAAACCCCGTCTCTACTAAAAATACAAAAAAGTAGCTGAGCGTGGTGGCATGTGCCTATAGTCCCAGCTACTTGGGAGGCTGAGGCAGGAGAATCGCTTGAACCTGGGAGGTGAAGGTTGCAGTGAGCCGAGATCGAGCCATTGCACTCCAGCCTAGGCGACAAGAGTGAAAATATGTCTCCCCCCAAAAAACTTAAAGCTCAGTGGCTCATACCTGTATTCCCAGCATTTTGGGAATCTGAGGCGGCCAGATCACCTGAGGTCAGGAGTTTGAGGCCAGCCTGGCCAACATGGTGAAACTTCGTCTCTACTAAAAACACAAAATTAGCTGGATGTGGTGGCACACGCCTGTAATCCCAGCTACTTAGGAGGCTGAGGCACGAGAATCACTTGAACCCAGGAGGTGGAGGTTGCAGTGAGCCGAGATTGCGCCATCGCACTCCAGCCTGGGCAGCAAGAGTGGAACTCCATCAAAAAAACAAAAAACAAACAAAAACTTAATTTACTAGAAAAGGAAACAATATTAATTTCTCAAGTGGAAAATGATCTTTTGCCATAATTGGATGGAATATAATACATATAAAATAATGATATCAAATGTTAGTTGTAGAGCATTATTGAAGAAATTTTGAGCATAAGGCCTATCCTCTCTTTGGTTAAAACAGGGAGATCAGCAAGTGTTAGGCATTAAAGACTTTCTCCTTGAATGATTCAGAAAGATTTTAAAAGAATTTAAACTGCTTCTGAGTCTGTGTGCAATCTAAAATACTCTATTATCACCACTTACAGACACATTGCTTTAGGAGAAAACCCTTTTATTGCCCTACAGCAAAACCTGTTGACTGGAAAGGAAATCTCAAGTATAACCTAGAAGATGAAGTATTTCTATCTCCATATGACTAGTCGTCATTAGTAATGTCTTTTTTTTATTATTATTAAAAAACTATCAAGGTCAGGTGCAGTGGCTCATGTCTGTAATCCCAGCACTTTGGCAAGCCAAGGCAGGCGGATCACGAGGTCAGGAGTTCGAGACCAGCCTGGCCAGCATGGTGAAACCCCGTGTCTAATAAAGATACAAAAAATTAGCTGGGCATCATGCTGCGTGCTTGTAATCCCAGCTATTTGGGAGGCTGAGGCAGGAGAATTGCTTGAATCCAGAAGGCAGAGGTTGTAGTGAGTGGAGATCATGCCATTATATTCCAGCCTGGGCGACAGGGGAAGACTCCATCTCAAAAAAATAAATAAATAAATAAAACTATCGCTTGGCCAGGCCCAGTGGTTCACACCTGTAATCCCAGCATTTTGGGAGGCCAAGGCAGGTGGATTACCTGAGGTCAGGAGTTTGAGACCAGTCTGAACAACATGGTGAAACCCTGACTCTACTAAAAATACAAAAATTAGCCAGGCGTGGTGGGGGGTGCCTGTAATCCTGACTACTCGGGAAGCTGAGGCACAAGAATCACTTGAACTAGGGAGGTGGAGGTTGCAGTGAGCCGAGTTCACGCCACTGCACTCCAGCCTAGGTGACAGAGCAAGACTGTCTCAAAACAAACAAACAAACAAACAAAACTATCACTTGAAAATGACATGGTTAGCAGTTTCCAGAGTCAAGATGCTGTGTAGCCTCAGCACTTACTTTCACTATATATTTGGGAATATACTTCCAACTTCATACTAAACGTCTCAATATTGAATATTTATTTTGTAATGTCTATTTTGTAACATTTTAGCGGAAAGAAAAACCATCTTGAGGATTCAGACTAAAACCAAAGAGAATGTATTTAACAAGAATATAAGTATTTCAAGGGAAAACGTAATTTAGGAAAAAAATGTGGGATGAAAATGGATACTATGGATTCATTAAAGTACAAACAACTAAACCAACTCAATATATGCAATATCTAGCTGTAGTAGAAACCTCTGGTCATTATGAAAGTCTCTGATCCAAGGAAATCTGTATTTTATAACACTTATATTGCATTCTGCTAGATTAAAGCTGCATTACACAGTGACTGCACATATACTGAATATTATATATTCACCTAGAAGCATACTCTACAGACATTTTATGCACTTGAAAGAAACATCAGCCAGCCGCTCTTTGCAAATGACAGCAAGATATGTCTTAGTATAATGATCTCCAGTAAGCTTTGAGTACATCCTTTCACTGAAAGGATCAAGGTCTACCTATGGTTACTTTATACAATTGATGGGCAATTTGATATTTTTCTCACTTACATTTCTTTTAATGCCCTGAAAAGCATGTAGTTCTGGATGGAGGCTATGAGAATGGGTCACTTGTTATGTGGATTTGGCTTACCAGTAGGCAAGGGATGGATGCTCCTGAAGAGTTTTGGTTGGAAAGGCTGGTAATGTCTTTAAATCTTTCCTGGCATTCTCATCACTAAAAAGAAACAGAATATGATAATGTCAGGTACTGCTATCCAAAAAATTATCCAAGCTGGTCACCAAATGAATGAGATAAAAAAAAAATAACTATTTACAGCATCTTGAAGCCAACATACACATGGTTATGGACTCTAACTAGAAACAGCCCCCAAATTTAACAACTGAGTTCTATGATGAGATGTTGAAGTTTATAATATTGTCTGCATGTGTCTATTTTACACATAACTATGATAATAATTGTACATTTTTCACATTGGATTTTTACAGAACATTCTTCACATTTCATTATCCACTTTCTCCGTGTTCCTACAGTATCTTACTAATTATCTTTAGTGGCTACATAATATTCATCATGGTGGAATACTGGTTATCATGAAACCACTCACATAACATCACCAGTTTTTCATAATAGATATCATTGCAATGAAAAGGTTTATGTAGTTGTTTATATTACTCTTCTGTTACTTCCTTACAACCCTCTGAAATACAGCAGACCAACTCAGTCATCTGCAGAAATCTCTTGACTAGAAGATGACTGGAAAACGTGCTTCTAATGAAACCCAAGGTATCTCTTAAGTCACATTAAGTGAACTAAAATGTACCTCATGTAAGGTTAGCTATTATCTAATTATAAAACGGCAAAATTCTAGTTGTCAAGAGAAAGGTATGGTCTTTACAAAACTTTAAAAAAGGGAGAACGGGCCAGGTGCGGTGGCTCATGCCTATAATCCCAGCACTTTGGGAGGCCAAGGCGGGCGGATCACGAGGTCAGGAGATCGAGACCATCCTGGCTAACATGGTGAAACCCCATCTCTACTAAATATACACACACACAAAAAAATTAGCCGAGCTTGGTGGCAGGTGCCTATAGTCCCAGCTACTTGGGCAGCTAAGGCGCACAGCTTGCAGTGAGCTGAGATCACACCACTGCACTCCAGCCTGGGCGACAGAGTGAGACTCCGTCTCAAAAAAAAAAAAAAAAAAAAAAAAAGGGAGAACAGGTAATACTATCCAGTCACAGTTGGTTATGAGAGAAAATACTCTAACTGCTGAGTATTTAAGGATACAATCTATGAGGAAAAGAACATGATTATCTAGAGCCTATTAGAGTGTAGAATAAGCACATGAAACAGCTACTCAAAATTCTGATCAAATTGGTGTTCATCAAACAGCATAACGCTAACTCTTCCTACGTTCCACTTCTTCCTCTCTTTACCACTAGCTACCCTTCGATAAAAGGCTCCCAAGTGCCAGATACCATGCAACACACTTCTTGGACATTATTTAACTCATGTAAGGCTCACCACAAGCATTCCCATACAGTAGATACTATTATTATCTATTGAAGTAGACGAGCCCCCCAACTGGAGGACCAAACATTGAACCATTCCTTATTGCTATTACATTTCAAAGCCAGGGTTGTGGCCTTTCCTACAGGTGAAAGATCTAGCTTTCCAAATTACTACAGGAAATAGTCACTTGGCTCCTATTCTTACATAAGAAAAAATCTCTCTATTCATTTGAAATCTGAGTGTTATGGCTTAACCACAATGACAATCTTGGGAAACTGGTTTGTGCTTCCTGAAAATCAAAATATACCACAATCCAATTCATTCATATTAAAGGTCAACTGTCAACTCCCAGTATATTTATTTTTCTTAATAATCTCTTTTATGTTCTGTCTGGCATACCACATTTACTTTTTTTTTTCAAACCCAAGACTGTCTGATACATTTACTCCTAAATTGTGATTTTTTTTTAAATGAAGGGCAAATGCATGCATATATTCAAAAATGATAAATTCAGGACAACATTGTGTTATGAATCATCCACATCAACCACATGCTTGTTGTTATATCTGGATCCAGGTGAACCATAGGCCATGTTTCAAGAACCCAGCCTAACATTCACTTACTTGGATTACAGTTAATTTTGTGGCAGTGGAGACCTCACTAGACTGGAAGTTGCTATTTATCATAAATTTATTTATTCAGTTAACAAAACTATGTAGAAATGAGTGTCACATGCTGGAATTGTTTTTAACTCATATAAATGCAGTCAGCCAAAAGGGAAAGGAGAATGGGGAAAGAAGTGAGGGAGAAATTTTGTCTGTCATTCCATTCAATAAGCTCATGGTTGAGAATAAGTACAAAACAGGTGACTTGAAGTTGTTGTCCTTAGTCCTATGTCTCTCAAAGCACAAGTATCTCATGACACTGAGATTTTTCTGGCATTCAGGCATTTAATACATGTCTGCTAAACTCAAGCAATCTTTATATCTAGTGCCTAAAGAAATAGCTGTGTGTTTCAACTGGAGAAAAATACCACCTGTGTTGGATTTATTGAAAGATGAAGTTTAGTCTTCAGCATATCATTTTCCCAACAATTTTCAAGAGTAATTTGAACTATACACAATCAGAATCTACTCCAGTTATAAGATGTTATTTGTTTAGAAATTTTGGCTGAATAAATCAATAAATTACTAAAGGTTAATCATGAGCCAGTATCTGAGATAATGATGAATATTCACTCATTAAGACCTTTTTTTGGGTACTAATCAATCACTGAGAAGCAACTAAAATGTGCATTAATAGGGAAGTGGATTAGGGATCATTTTAAGGAGAATTTAGACTACCTTGAAAAAAAGTATTCTTAACCAGGCGCAGTGGCTCATGCTTATAATCCCAGCACTTTGGGAGGCCGAGGCAGGTGGGTAACCTGAGGCCAGGAGTTTGAGACCAGCCTGACCAACATGGTGAAACCCCGTCTCTACTAAAAATACAAAAATTAGCTGGGCATGGTGGCAGGCGCCTATAATCCCAGCTATTTAGTAGGCTGAGGCAGGAGAATCGCTTGAACCCAGGAGGCGGAGGTTGCAGTGAGCTGAGATTGTGCCATTGCACTCCAGCCTGGGGGACAAGAGTGAGACTTCGTCTCAAAAAAAAAAAAGTGGTTCTCAACATTGGCAATTTTGCCCCTCAGGGGACATTTAGCAATGTTTGAAGGCATTTTTGATAGTCACAACTGAGGAAGGAGGTGTTACTGGCTTCTACTGGGTAGTTTCTACAGTAGTTCCTACAATGCACAGGACAGCCCTCAACAACAAAGGATGATCCTGCCCAAAATGTCAATAGTGCTGAGATTGAGAAACCCTGCCTTCAATTATAAGAATCCTGAAAATTCTACCGTAATACTCTACAAAGCATATCTTTCAGACTTACAGAATTTTTCTCTTATGTCACTCTGAATATTAGACATCTCAGATGCAAATGTCTAATAGGGGCCAAGTGAGATAGGCATTAGAAAATCAACTGGGTAAGCGAGCTGAGAAATGGTAAGTCAAACTCAGCATCAGACCCGGGGACAATGAGAAATGGTGTGAACTATGAAGAGAGGAGAACATCGCCCATGTTTCATATAAGATACAGATTTGACTGTGTGTGATGGAGATCAAAACTTCAGTTAATTTCTCTTCACATAAGTCAGAGCTGGCTGGGCATGGTGGCTCATGCCTATAATCCCAACACTTTGGGAGACTGAGGCGGGAGGATCACTTGAGCCCAAGAGTTGGAGATCAACCTGGGCAACACAGTGAGACCTTGTCTCTACAAGAAATTTTTTAAAAATTAGCCAGGTGTCATGGCATGTGCCTGTGGTTTCGACTACTTGGGAGGCTGAAGTGGACCATTGGAACCCAGAAGTAAAAGGCTCTAGTGAGTTATGACTGCACCAATGTATTACAGCCTGGGCAACAGAGTGAGATTCTCTTATTAAAAAAAAAAAAAAAGAATGGAGAGAAGATGCCTTCTTAGTTTCTTGGTTTCTAGTTTCAGATAATTTGCTAACTGAAAATTGTCAGTAGTGAATGATTAAAGGAGATAAGTAATTTGCCTAAATTACTTGTCTCGCTATTTGTGGAATTTTGACTATCCCTCAAAATCCCTTTTTTTTTTTGGAGGCTGGGTCTTGTTCTGTTGCCCAGGCTGGAGTGCAGTGGCTCAATCATGGCTCACTGCAGCCTCAACCTCCAGCCTTTAGGGCTCAAGTGATCCTCCCACCTCAGTCTCCCAAGTAGCTAGAATCACAGATGCATGCCACCATGCCTGGCTAATTTCAAATTTTTCATAGAGATAGGGTCTCACTATGTTGACCTGGCTGATCTCAAACTCCTGGCCTCCAGCAATCCTCCTGCCTTAGCTTCCCAAAGTGCTGGGATTACAGACACGAGCCACCATGCCCAGCCCCCCAAAATTACACTCTCAGGGAAGAATATGGCCTTATTTCTTCACATTAGAAAAGGCTCCTGTTAATCTTCCAAATCTGGTCATTTGTACTATTGCAAAATATCCCTTGTGAATATATAACATCACTTTCCTATAAGAAGCTGTTTAATATAGGAATTTTCCAGCAAGCCATCACCGATATTTGAAGTGGTTGAGCTGTGGACGTGACTATAACACTAAAAGAAAAAGCCAGCAGAATAATTAAAAGATGACTGAGACAGACAGCCTGGCAGAAAAAATAGGCTAAACTCTTCAACAAGCAGTGTATAGAAGTAGAAATCCAAATGGCCAACAGAAAAAAAGTGTTCAACTTCGTAAGTATCAAGGAAATGCAAATTAAATCCTCAATTAATTACTAATACACACCAGACTATCAAACATTTTTTTATCTTTGAAACGGAGTCTCACTCTGTTGCCAGGCTGCAGTGCAGTGGTGCGATCTTGTTTGGTCCTAAACAAGGACCTGGGTTCAAGCGATTCTCCTGCCTCAGCCTCCAGAGTACCTGGGACTACAGGTGCACGCCACCACGCCCAGCTACTTTTTGTATTTTCAGTAGAGATGGGGTTTCACCTTGTTGGCTAGGATGGTCTCTAACTCTTGACCTCATGATCAAGAGATAGACCGCACCCGGCCACACTATCATACTTTTTTTTTTTTTTTGAGATGGAGTCTCGCTCTGTCACCCAGGCTGGAATGCAGTGGCATACTCTC